TGGTGCGGTTGGTTAACGTCCGATAGGTCGTCTCGCGGTCATAAGTTCGAGCGAGCCCCGCGTCGAGCTCTGGGCTGATAAACAATTGTACGGAGCCTGTTCCAGTGTGTCTTCCTCTCTCTCTGCCCCTCCCCCGTTCATGCTCTGTCTCTGTCTGTCCCATAAATAAATAAAAACGTTGAAAAAAAATTTAAGAGGAAGCTTTTTTTGGGTGGGCAGTGTTCCCAAGACACCCTCAGAGGCAGACACATTTCACTCCTCTCTAGAGGAACCACTTTCCACTAGGCACAAAAGTCATACAAGCACTTCAAAATCTGACAAAACTCACAAATCATGAACAGAGGCAGAACCTGGCAACTGAACAGAGCCAGCAAAAACAACTTACAGCAGAATTACTGCGTGCAAAAATTGTTGCCAAAGGGACAAGGGAGAGCTTTTTACTTATGCTGTGTCTGACTGTTCCCATTCTCCAGTTCGTGTGGGGGTGTGACAGTTAATGCCAGAGACTCATTTCAGAACATTTGTGTAACTTTGCTTGGCTAAGCTCACTGTTAACTAGACAGACAGACATTCTGCAGTTCAGTCTCTCATGTGGTCAGAGCCCCAGAGACCCTGTGACAACTATGCTCCCAAAAACCTATGCTTGCCAAACCACCCCTCCTCTCGCAGGCCACACCTTAGTGCCATCCTTTCCTGTGAGGAATCCGGGAGGGGGGCCTGTGACTTGCTGACAGTGAGTGGGTCAGAAGTGACACTGTGCCAGTCCTGGGCCAAGCCGAGCCTGGTAGCCTCTGCTTCTGCCCTTTGGGGTCTAACCCACCATGTGAAAGGTTAGCTGTAAGCTGGGTGATCACCCCTGAAGGGGACCATCTTGGGAGAGGCCATGTGTGAAGAGGAAAACTTTGACAGAGGCCAGATGACAGACCCAGCTGCTGGCCCAACAGCCATCCCCATCAAGCCCCAGACATTTGAACTTAGCTTGTGGACATCCCAGCCTAGTTAAGTGTCCTACTGATGTCTGTGAACTCCTGACTGAGCTCTGCCAACACAGAATCATGACAGAAAATAAAATGAGTAGCTGGTTTGGGGGAGTGAATTTTGGGAGGTTGTTACATGTGGCAGAGATAATGAAACAGGAGCCCCTAGGTTTTTGTTGAGAGAAATAGATCTGACCTGGGGTGGATGGAGTTGTGCCAGCTGATGCCTGCAATTCTCTACTCCCCCTTACATCAATCCTTACAGCATGGTGCCCTGTGGAAAATTACAATAACGGTGGCTGGGTATGCACATCTCTCTTTCATGTAATTTAATAAGACTATTTAATTAAATATGCAGTTTCAACTGAATCAGTTGGCTGTTGTTCATAGGCGTTGCACCTGTTCCTCCATGGCTTGGTAATCTGAGCATGCTGTGAAAATGGTGCTACAGGAAACAGAAGTCTGAACTTGAGGGAGAGAAGAAAGGAAAATTGCATCCCAAGGCATTAGTGGAAATTCAAAGAATGTGAGTTAGTATCTGCTATGGAAGAACAGAGAGACTTGGTTAATACTGGGACCAGAAAGAATCCCTGAAAAGCTGGACATGATGGTCTTGGATTCACAAACAGGAGAGGAAAAGAGTGGACTGGTGCCCTGCTTCTGTTGAGAGAAGGAGGCACCATGGCAGTTACTTAACCAGGGCATTCTCAGTTCCCAGTCCAGCCCGGTTCCAGAGCTCTTCCTACTTATGCACCCCGGGCTCGCCTCCACCAGGGTGTCCTTCCTGCTGCGTCCACACCTGCACTCTGCTCAGTAGTGATTCTCAGGGTCACCCGTGTGAGACTACGAGGCACTATCCTCTCTTGCTCTTCCTGGCTCCTACTTTGATTCCATGAGCAGAACCACCCAGCCAGGACAGACTCTGCAGCTGTGGTGTGGAGGAGCGTTCACAATTCTCAAAAGTAGTCAATGGGCAAGCAGAGGTGGAGCAGTGGACAAGATTATGTGAGGTCTGAGGCTTCTACAACTGGAGGGTCTTCTTCAAGAAAAGAATACTCATTGCAAATACATAATTAAGGTACCAAAGAAATATGTATTTGTGAGAAAAATTCAAAAGAAAAGGAAATCACAATGAATTACAAATATTAATATTGTCCTTTGTGGGAAACAGAATAATGGCCCCAAATATCCAGGTCTAATCCCTGAACAAGTGAATGTCCTTATGGCGAAGGGGTCTTTACAGGTGTGATGGAGAATTTACAGACAGCCTCAATAAATCAGTGTCCAAATTAAATGCATGCATCTTATGTAATGGATCAATCATCTATATATATATCTCTTTCAGATCAGATCGGAAAAGGCCAAGGAAGGCGAATCCCTCCCCCAGGGATTTAGATCAAATCAGGCATCTCTACTCTCTCAAATCATCGGCGTGGCGTGGCGTATGGCGGCGGCGGCGGCTATATGCTCATTGCTTTAAAAAAAATGCTCTTGCGCTCAGGCGTGGCTAATAATAATAATAATAATAATAAATAATAATAATAATGGCGTAATAATGGTAATGGCGTGAAAATAATGAAAAATAATGGCGTAATAATAATAATAATAATATCATCATCATATGGCATCATCATCATCATGCAGCAGGCATAGCATAAAAAAAAAAAAAAAAAAATGTCATCATCAATATCATCTGTCATCTCTACTCTCTCACTAAAAAATAATGAATAAAACAGCAGCCAGAGAATCTTTATCTCTACTATGAGGCTGGGAGATCCTGAGATGGATCTCGGTCTCGCCTCAGATCTTTATTATTTATCTATTTATTTATTGTGTGTGTGTGTGTGTGTGTGTGTGTGTGTGTGCTGGCCTTGGCCTTGGCCCAGCAGCCTTGGCCTGTTGGCCTGTTGGCCTGTTATTGTGGCTTATTGGTTTATTGGTTTATTTGACCCCACGGCATTTGGCCCCGGCATTATTGTGGCTCACCCCAAAAAAAGCACCCCAGGCGATGATGGAAGACAGAGAAGAGAAGAAACCGACCATGAAACAATGACAGGAGTGGGAAGGCCTGAAATCTCTTCCATTATTATTATTAGTATTATTATTATTTATTATTATTTATTATTATTATTATTATTATTATTATTATTATTCTTTATTCTTGCACCCTTGCCCTTGCCTTGCCTTGCCCTTGCCTTGCCCTTGTGCCTTGCTTGAACAGGATGGAACAGGTTTTTTTGCCTACTACACCACCCTACCACACACCACCTACTACGTTTGGTTCCCTTTTGCCCCTGATCATGCTCTTTTTTTCTATGGGTTGGTTCCTCGGTTCGTCGGTTAATGGCGACACCTGCTGCACGCTGCTACCTGCTGTAGCATATGTATATGGCATGGTTCTTAGCAACTAACCTTCATAGCCTTATATTAACATAACTAATAGCCAGCATATGTATATGTAGCAATATATGCTAACGCATATATATGTAACTATGTATATATATATATATATATATATGTAACCAGCAACAATATAGCATAATATATAGCGTATGGCAATGTATGGCAACGCAACTTCAGCAATAGCCATGTATGTATGTAACAATTACCTACAGTGGTAATTGTAACCAGCACCTTGATTTGTTCGTTGGTTGATTTTTTTCAGCCAGTGATGACTTTGGACTTCTGACATCTGGAACGCTATAAGATAATAAATTTTATGTATATAATAATATAATATCTCAAAGGCCACCAAGTTTGTGTGTATTGTATTTGTCATTGCAGCAGCAATATTAATAAGCAAATTATTCCTCAACAATGATTTTGTAATGTCGTTTTTTGGAACAGAAGAGATATAATAATATAATATATATATTATGTGTAATATAATAATAATAATATGTATATTAATAATATTAATATGTGTGTATGTGTCGTAATAATAATATTAATAATATTAATAATATTAATAATATTAATACTCTCTTTTTTTTTTTTTCCTACAAGGTTTTCTCTGGCATCCGCGCTTTTCTGTGTGTGTGTGTGTGTGTGTGTGTATTGTGTGTGTGTGTGTGTGTAATGTGTGTGTGTGTGGTAGTATTGTTATTGATTGGATCCTTGCCCTTGCCCCCTTCCCAAAAAGGTTGGTGGCTTTTGTTGGGTGGCGGAGGTACCGTCTTCCCCGTCTGTTTGGGGGATTGATTTGTTGGTGATCATGTTGTCCCAGGCCTGCCACCTGCCACCACTGCCTGCCTGCCTGCACCTGCTGCCTGCCTGCCTGCCTGCCTGCCTGCCTGCCTGCCTGCCTGCCTGCCTGCCGACGTTCTGGTTTGGTTGATTGGATTGATTGGTTTGTTCGGTTGTGCTATGCGTTGTTTGCGTTGTTCGGGTTCTTTGTTGGTTGATTGCGGACAGTTCGGTTCTGCGTTACCCGTTTACTATTACCGTTGTATTTTCCCGGACGTTCATTTGTTACACTCTACACACTACCTGTTGGTTGGGTTCAGTTGGTGGTTGGTTGCGGTTGATTGCAACGCGCATTCGTTGCGCATGCCTGCAGCGCGTTCGTTGGTTTGCGCGTGCGCGCGCGGCGTTGCGTTGCGCGTTGGCTACAACGCGCTGCTGCGCGCGCCATGCCGCGCTGCCTATACTCCCGCCGCCGCGCACTGCACGCGCTACCGCTTGCGTTACCTTTTCACCACGCGCACGCGCTGTTCCGCACGCTACGCTATGCCTACTGCCGCGCACCTGCGCGCACTACACACTACCACCACGCGCGCACTTACGCACACGCCGCCTGCCGCGCCGCACTACACACACCTAACCATTTTACCTTCGCACCTACCACCGCCTACCTACCCTCCCTACTTCTATTCCTGCGCACGCGCGCGCCGCGCGCCACGCACTGCAACCTTTTACCGCCCCACCATACCCGCCGCTGCTACCGCTACACCACCCTGCTACACCCTACCTGCCCTTCCCCTGCGCGCTGCCTACCACCATACCACCTTTATAACGCGCACGCGCCGCTGCCGCGCACGCGGCGCGGCGGCATGCATCCTGCTGCGGCGCGTAGCGTGACGGCGTGCATGCCCTCGCGGCGTTTGGTGAACGTTGCGCTTTCGCCCGCGCGTTTTGTGGCATGCGTTAACACCTGCCTTGTTCTCTGCTGCCATTGCTGTTTCCGCCGCCGGCGCGCTCTTTCTTCCGCGCATACAGCATATCGCGCCTGCCTGCGCTGCCTGCGCTGGCGCGGCGCTTCGCTACCGTATACGCGCGCGCGGCGGATGTAAATGTATAGGCGTTTTTGACGTATATCGCATGCTGCCGCTGTAACACATTTCGCCACCTGCGCGCAACGCGCGCGTGCATATACTGCCTTCGCCGACGCCACCATACTTCGCTGGCGCAGCGTATGACGCATATAACTTCCGAACAACGCCAGCATATTTAAACATTTTGCCTGGCGTACATATACTCGCCGTGACAGCGCAGCGCATAACATTTCCTTCGTAGCTATGGGACATAAGCGTGGTAAAACATTTCTTCGTCATCATATACTTTTATATTCTATTTATCACCGTTATATATACCTGCCACTACTACTACTACTACCTCCCTGCCACTGGTTCTCTACCTGTTCTATATATACCTATTCTGCCACCACCTTCTCATTTCCTCTGCTCACCTTATACTCCCCTTGCCTGCTGGCATGGTTCATCTCTGTACTACCTCGCGATGTTTATTTCTAATTCGTGTATTCTAACCTTAACTCTATATCCCTCTCTATTACCTACCTCTCCATACTCCGCCTCACCTTCTTCGCACCATGCCTTCTGCGCGCCGCATGTGAGCATGATGGCGTTTTGACGTCGACTGGCAAACCGCTGTATGTGGCGTACTGTTCACGCCTCGTTTTCGCCGCCAGCCGCTATAACGCCAACCTGGCGCGTTCGCGCATGCCGTTTGGTAACACCGCTGCGCGAAAGGATCAACCATACCTGCGCGTAACAACACCTGTGCCGGCGCTGCGCCGCTATAACGCCTGTTCTGCCGCCGCCGCTTTTGCTCGCGGCTCGTACCGCGCCTACGCGCTCGACGCTGGTTCTTCACCACGGTTCTACCTTCTTATCACGCTGCCATGCGCGCTTCCGTCGCCCTTCTGCTCGCAGCGGTCTTCTGGCGTTCGCGCGCTTCGGCGACCAGCGTAGCGCTCTCCGCGCTTCTGTCTGCGTTGTATGCTGCGGGACGGCGGCGGCGTATAGCGGCTGTGACAACAACTCGACGGCGGTGAACAACATATATGGCCGTGGCATCACCAACCAGTGGCAACGGCGACCACCGTTGGCGCGTAGCGCCCTCTTGGTGTGGTGCGCGCGGCGTGGCCGGCGTACCCAAACGGCAGCCAGCGCGTTATATGCCATTCGCTGGCGGCGCTCGCGTTCCATTATAAACGCCGTGCCTTCCGTGCAATCGCCAGACGTTCGCCTGTAACCTCGGGCGGCGGGCGTAGCATGACGCATTCTGCTTTCTACTACTCGCGGCGTATGTGGCCGTTAAGTTCTTACTCAATCCCTGTGCCGTGAACCGGCGGCGTATGACATCGCTGGCGCGGCGCGAACCATAACGCGTCACTATAGCGCAGCGTGGCGTAACGCTCTTCGCGCGACTGTTATTCTTCCGTGCGTGCAGGTTGCGCGCCAAAACCTTCTCGCCGCCAGCCTGCCGGCATTTCACATTTTGTGGCGGCAGCGTGACATGCGTGATTATCTGTCGCGCTATACGCATGTATGCGTATAAAAAAAAATTTAAAGAGCTTTTGGGTGGGCAGTGTTCCCAGACACCCTCAGAGGCAGACACACTCCTCCTCTCTAGAGGAACCACTTTCCACCTAGGCACAAAGAATCATACAAGTAGTTTTCAAGAAATACGAGCAAAAACTCACAAATCATGAACCAGAGACGAACACAGCAGCCTGAACAAGAGCCAGCAAAAACAACTTACAGCAGAATTACACGTACAAAGAATTGTTCGCAAAGGGACAAAGGGGAGGAGGCTTTTACTTATGCTGTGTCTGACTGATACATTCTCCAGTTCCGTAATGAGGGGTATTAGGATTAATGCCAGAGACTCATTTCAGAGCATTTGTGTAACTTTTACTTTGGCCTAAGCTCACTGTTAACTAGACAGATCTTGGACATTCTGCAGTTCAGTCTCTCATGTGGTCAGGAAGCCCCAGAGACCCTGTGACAGCTATGCTCCCAAAAACCTATGCTCGCCAAAACCACCCCTCCTGCGGGCCACACCTTAGTGCCATCCTTTCCTGTGAGGAATCCGGGAGGGCCTGTGACTTGCTTTAACCAGTGAGTCGTCAGAAGTGACACTGTGCCAGTCCTGGGCCAAAGCCACAAGGCCTGGTAGCCTCTGCTTCTGCCCTTTGGGGAGTCCTAACCCACCATGTGAGAAAGTTTAGCTATGCCGCTGGGGTGATCACCCCCTGAAGGGACCATGCGGAGAGGCCATGTGAAGAGGGAAAACTTTGACACGGCCAGATGACAAAGACCCAGCTGCCCCAGCCTTCCAGCCATCCCCATCAAGCCCCAGACATTTGAACAAGCGCTTGTGGACATCCCAGCCTAGTTAAGTGTCCTACTGATGTCATGTGGAGCAGAACTCCTGACTGAGCTCTGCCAACACAGAATCATGACAGAAAATAAAATGGTGGCTGGTTTGGGGGAGTAAGTTTTGGGGAGGTTGTTACATGGCAAGAGATAATGGAAACAGAACCCCTAGAGTTTTGTTAGAAATAGATCTGACCTGGGGTGGATGGGTGTGCCAGCTGATGCCTGCAATTCTGTCCCTACTCCCCCCTTACATCAATCCTTACAGCATGGTGCCCTGTAGACAGGAAAATTACAATAACTTGGTGGCTGGTATGTCAGCCACATCTCTCTTTCATGTGAATTTAATAAGACTAATTAAATATGCAGTTTCAACTGAATCCAGTTGTGTTTGTTCTGGGCGTTGCACCTGTTCCTCCATGGCTTGGTAATCTGAGCATGCTGGAAAATGGTGCTACAGGGAAGACAAGTCTGAACTTGGGGAGAGAGAAAGGAAGGAGAGTGATGCATCCCAAGGCGACAGTGGAGGGAAATTCTAAAGGAAATGTGAGTTAAGTATCTGCTATGGAAGGAGCAAGAGAGACTTCGGTTAATACTGGGACCAGAAAAGAATCCCACAGAAAGCTGGACATGATGGTCTTGGATTCACAAACAGGAGGGAAAGAGTGGACTGGGTGCCCTGCTTCTGTTGAGAAGAGCACCATGGCAGTTGCCAAAGCAGGGCATTCACTAAGTTCCCAGTCCAGCGGTTCAGAGGCTCTTCCACTGCCCTCCATATGCACCCCCGGAGCTCCGCCTCCACCAGGGTGTCCCTTCCTGCACGTCCACACGCTGCACTCTGCTCAGTAAGTGATTCTCCAGGGTCACCGTGTGAGACACGGGCACTATCCTCTCTTGCTCTTCCCTGGCTCCCTCGCTGGTCCATGAGCAGAACCACCCAGCCAAGGACAGACTCTGCCCAGCGGTGTGGAGGAACGTTCACCAAATTCTCAACGTAGTCAATGGGCAAGCAGAGGTGGGCAGTAGTTAGATTATGTGGGGTCTGAGGCTTCTACAACTGGAGGGGGTCTTCTTCAAGAAAAAGAATACTCATTGCAAATACATAATTAGGTACCAAAGAGAATATGTATTTGTGAGAAAGATTAAGAAAGGAAATCACAATGAATTACAAATATTAATATTGTCCTTTGTGGGAAACAGAATAATGGCCCCCAAAGATATCCAGGTCCTAATCCCTAGAACACGTGAATGTGCTTCCTTATATGGCAGAAGGGTCTTTACAGATGTGATGGAGGGTACAGACCTCAAATAGGGAGATTATCCAGAAGTAACTGTGTGGGCCTGATATAATCACATGAATCCTGAAGATCAGAGATACTTTCCTGGGTTTGGTCAGAGGAAGAGATGTGACAGTGGAAAAGTGAGCAGCGAAGTCTCTGCCGGCTGGTCTGAGATGTGGTCTCAGATGCTACATTGCTGGCTTTGAAGATGGAGGAAGGGGCCATGAGCCAAGGAATCTGGGCAGTCTCTAGAAACTGGAAAAGGCAAGGAAACAGATTCTCCCCTAGACCTTCCAGAAGGCACCAGCCTGACAACACCTTGATTTTCAGCCAGTGATACTGACTTTGGACTTCTGACATCTGGAACTATAAGATAATAAATTTTATATCAGGCCACCAAGTTTGTGGTAATATTGCAGCAGCAATAGAAAGCAAATTATTCCCCTCAAATAACAATGATTTTGTAATGTCATTTTTTATACCAAGAACAGAAAGATAATAAAGTTTTTCCTCTAGCATCACTGGTCAAAATTTGCTTTTTATTATGATAACGGGAAAATTTTTCATCTTCCCATCTAGCTGAGGATTGTTGTCAAACTTAAGAAGACCTCTATCAGGGGCGCCTGGGTGGCGCAGTCGG